GCGGAGCAGGGAGCCCGATGCGGGGCTCAATCCCAGAACCCTGAGATCATGACCTGAGCGGAAGGCAGACGCTTAACAACTGAGCCACCCGGGCGCCCCATGCTGTTCAATTTTTTTTAAGTGGCTCTCTTCCTAAGAAATATCTCTATCAAATTTCTGTAGCTTTATCTTTCTAAAATTAAGGTAGATTAGGAATATGATAAGCAGAATCCTTCACTTTGCTATCAACAATAAAGCATCGATAGCAGTGAATGAGTTATTTGACACTGAAAAAGTAGTAAAAACACAAGAGCAGCTGGGATGGTCAGTGATTTATCTTCAAAGAGGTTATGTGGATTGGGATGACTTCCTCATAAGCCCATCTTATTAGCTCTAAGAGGGTTTTTTTTTTTAATTGATTCCTTAGGATTTTCTGTGTGGATCCATCATGCGTCTGCAAATAGGAACAGTTGTATGATCTGTATGCCTGTTTGATCTGTATGCTTTTTATTTCCTTTTATTGCATTGGCTAGAATTTGCATAACTATGCTAAAGAAGAGTGGTGAGAACAGACATCCTGGCTTTCTGAGGGGGAACCATTCCGTCTTTCACCCTTAACTGTAATACTAGCTACAGGTTTTTTATTGACACTTTTTACCATGTAAGAAGTTCCCATCTAGGGGCGCCTGGGTGGCTCATTCTGTTAAGCATCTGCCTTCGGCTCAGGTTGTGATCCCAGAGTCCTGGGATCAAGCCCCATGTCGGGCTCCCTGCTCATGGGGAAGCCTGCTTCTCCCTCCCCTCCCCGCCCACCCTGCTTGTGCACTCCCTCTCTCTCTCTCTTTGAAAAAGTAAAAAAAAAAAAAAAGTTCCCATCTAGTCCTGTATTTCTAAGGTTTGTTTGTTTTTAATCACAAATGGTTGTTGAAATTTATCAAGTATCTTTTCTCCATTTGTTGATATTCATATGTGATTTTTTTTTCTTTAATTAGCCTGTTAATATGGTGGATTAGATTGGTTGATTTTGAAATTATTGAACCAAACTTACATCCCTGGAATATACACATCACTGGTCATGGTGTATAATTATTTTTATATATTACTGAATTTTATTCCTAGTATTCTGTTAAGGATTTTTGCATCTGTATACATGAGAGATACTGGCCTTTGTTTTTCTTTCCCCTCCCTCCCTCCTTCCCTCCCTCCCTCCTTTCCTCCCTTTCTTTTTCTTTCTTTCTTTCTTTCTTTCTTTCTTTCTTTCTTTCTTTCTTTCTTTCTACTGTCTTTGTTTTTGTTCTTTTGTTTTTTTGTTATTGAGATACAATTGACATACAACATTATATTAGTTTTAGGTGTACACATAATGATTCAGTATTTGTATATATTGTGAAATGATCACCAAAGGAAGTCAATGATCACCAGTACACATAGTTACAGAATTTTTTTCTTGTGATTAGAAATCTTAAGAGCTACTCTCTTAACAACTTTTAAATATATAGTACGGTATTATTAACTGTAGTCCTTCAGCTGTACATTACATTCCCAAGACTTACTTATTATATAACTGCAAGTTTGTACCTGTTGATCACTTTTACCCCTTTAACTTGCCCTGCACCCCTGCCTCTTGCAACCACCGATCTCTTCTCTGAGTTCAGGGGTTTTGTTGTTTTTTTTTTTTAGATTCCACATATAAGTGAGATCATACAGTATTTGTCTTTCTTTGACTTATTTCACTTAGCATAATTCCCTCAAAGTCCATCCATATTGTTGCAAATGGTAAGGTATTCTTCATTTCAGTGGCTCAGTAATATTCCATTGTACATGTACCCCACATTTTCTTCATCCATTTGTCCATCAGTAGACATTTAGGTTGCTTCTATGTCTTGACTGTTGTGAATAATGCTGCACCGTTTGGTGTATGTTTATGGAAATGCACATATCTTTTCAATTCACTGTTTTTGTTTTCTTTGGATAAATAGAAGTAGAATTGCTGTATCCTATGGTAGTTCTATTTTTAATTTTTTGAAGAACCTCCTTACTGTTTTCCAAAGTAGCTGCACCAATTTACATTTCCACCAACAGTGCACAAATATTCCCTCTTACCCACATCCTTGCCAGCATTTGTTATTTCTTGTTTTTTGAATGACAGCCATTCTAATAGGTGCAAGGTGATCTCTCACTGTGGTTTTTATTTGCATTTTCCTGATAATTTATGATGTTGTACTTTTTCATGTACCTGTTGGCCATCTGTATGTCTTCTTTGGAAAAAATGTCTATTCAGATCCTTTGCCCATTTTTTAAATTGGATTGTCTGTTTGCCATTGAGTTTTATGAGTTTTTAAAATATATTTTTGGGGTGTCTGGGTGGCTCAGTCGATTAAACGTCTGCCTTCGGCTTTCATGATCCTGGGGTCCTGGGATCAAGCCCTACATTAGGCTCCCTGCTCGGTGGGGAGCCTGCTTCTCCCTCTCCACACCACCCCCCCTCCCTCTCATGCTCTCTCTCACTATCTCTCTCCCTCTCTCTCTCTCAAATAAATAAATAAAATCTTAAAAAAAAAAAAAAAAGAGAGAATGGTGTACTTGAAATCAAGATTTGGGAGGCCGTACAGTTACTAAATAATGGAAAAGTGTACATTAGTAGCATTTCTCCATAGGCAAACTACTAGTATTTAGGGCAGGGTGATTCTTTGATGCAGGAGACTTAAACATTCTGTAAGATACTGAGCTTTCTTGGTCCCCAGACACTAAATACCTTTAATCATCTCCTACCTACACCTGTGTCAACATCTCCCACTCCCTGCTGTGTGCACACATACACATTTCTTTTTTTTTTTTTAAGATTTTTTTTTTTATTTATTTATTTGACAGAGACAGAGACAGCGAGAGCAGGAACACAAGCAGGGGGAGTGGGAGAGGGAGAAGCAGGCTTCCTGCTGAG